TATTGACCATCCTTCATGATGCCATACATGGACAGAAACAACTTTGACTGATTGGCCAGTCCATCGGTCTTATTAAAGTAAAAGCATTCTTACTCTGGGACTTACCGCCCAGCAGATCCTCTATTCAGCTAACTACAGGAAAGGTCCTCACCGGCCTTTTCGCACATTCATATCGCCATCGCCCTCAGCCTCACACTACCACGCCTTTGCACCTGCGAGCTAATGCCCTGCGATCCCCTTCCTTAACCTCCTTCCTTAGCCGTATCAGTTGTTGTGTTGGTTGGCATCTGGCATGGCCGGGGCAGGTCAGCCTTCAGCGGCTGAGAGGGAGAAGATCTACCAGCTGGTGGGCGACCTGACCGACAGTGACAAGCGGGAGAATGCCCTGCTGGAGCTCAGCAAGCGACGCGAGAGCTTCAACGACCTCGCACCCATCCTCTGGCACTCATTCGGCACCATCGCCGCACTCCTACAGGAAATCGTCACCATCTAGTCAGCGGAAGCAAGGAACACGCAAGCAGAGAGAGAATCAACTGAAGCGCATGACGGGCCTGTGAGCCACCTTTGTTGTCATATGTTTGGTGTGTGCGCTGTTGTGTGTGTGTTTGCCGTCCGTCTGTGTGCAGTCCTCAGCTGTCGCCGCCCAACCTGACTGCTCCGGCGTCGAACCGTGTGTGCAACTCCCTGGCCCTACTTCAGTGCGTCGCATCCCACCCTGAGACACGAAGACTCTTCCTCAATGGTACGGTCGGTGGTCGGGTCGTGGATTGGATTGGATGGGCGGGAGGGACGGACAGGCCATGTGCACCCACCTGGATTGGATGTGTGTGTGGTGCGATTGTGTGAGCGCACTGCAGCGCACATCCCGTTGTTTCTGTACCCGTTTTTGAACACGGTGTCTAAGAGCCGGCCGTTCGAGTACCTCCGACTCACCTCACTCGGGGTCATCGGCGCATTCGTCAAGGTAGGCACCTTCCCTTCACACACACTGCGGGACGGGACGCCCGCACTCGCTGACCCATCCCCACAATGGCATTCATATGGATCCGATCCGTGTGTGTGGTTGTTTTGTTTGTTAGGTTGACGATCCGGGTGTGATCAACTTCCTCCTGCAGACGGAGATCATACCACTGTGCCTCAGGATCATGGAAACGGGCAGCGAACTCTCAAAAACGGTGCGGTGGGGTGAGAGCGGGTACTGACACATTGGATGCATGGATTGGTGGGCGGCTACAGGCCAGGCCGTGTGTATGGGATTTGTCGGTCGGTCGCTGTGTGTGTGCAGGTGGCTACGTTCATCGTCCAGAAGATCCTGCTGGACGACCTGGGGCTTAGCTACATATGTGCCACCGCAGAGCGATTCTATGCTGTAAGTAACCTCACTGTCTTGGCCATCCCATCCCATCTGTCTGTGTCCGGATGTGTATGTCATCATGTGATGTGTTTGATCTGATCCCTCAGGTGAGCACTGTGTTGGCCAACATGGTGTCTACGTTGGCGGATCTGCCCTCTGCGCGGCTCCTCAAACACATCGTCAGATGCTACCTCAGACTCTCAGAAAACCCCAGGCAAGACAAGACTAGACAAGAACCAACACTCACACATGACATGGCTGTTAGTTACCGTGCTTGCTTGATATCCATCCCATGCCATCCATCCATCCATGCATTCATTCATTCATACATGTGCGTGAGTGTCCCTCCCTGTGCTGTGTGCAGGGCCCGCGAGGCGTTGCGGCAGTGCCTCCCAGACAGCCTCAAGTAAGGCAGGCAGGCAGGCAGGCCAACCCAACACACACCCCTACCCGCAGGAGCACAGACAGACAGACATGGATGGGCACGTGTGTGTGGTGGTGCGATTGATGGATGTATGTCTAGGGACCAGACGTTTGCCCGCAGTTTGCAAGAGGACCCTGCGATGAAGAAGTGGCTGCACCAGCTCCTGGCCGCCATTCAGACCACTGGAGCCTCCAAGCAAACCAAACCCGACGGACAAACCGTCGCTCCGGCCTAGACAGGACAGACATCTGGGGGGTCCGACCGGCCCGACCCGTCCATACTGACTATCTGACTATCTGACTGGTTTTGTCGTTAGCTAGCCACTTGAAAACAACGCAACCGATGCATTCATTGCGCCGCGCCTCGTGTGGGATCGGGTCCCCTGCAGGTCGCGTCGCGTGGTGCATCGATGGATGGCATGGCAACAGACAAACGCTGGCACCGATCGATACATGTGTTGACGGGACGGGTCGGGACGGGCTGTGTTCGACTGACGCGCCGAATGACTGACTGACTGACTGACCTGCGGTGGGTGCGTTGCGTTGGTGGGGGGTGTACAGGGGTGGGAGAGCTGGGAAATCTGGCTGTCGTCGGTGTGTGTGGGTCACAGTGCATGGCGATCGCATAGCATCAATCCGTGTGGGCGTGTGCGTGTATACATTTTGATTGGTTGTATCTATCTTGAGTTTTCAATCACAGTTGTCAGTCACACAAAAGACTTATCGATGAGAGAGAATGTGTCCATTTGTGAGAATGTGTGTGTGTACGCGTGCGTGACTTCTATCATCCTATTTGCCTGCAATCAATGACTCGGTGGTGGTTTAACTACCCCTCCCTCCCTCACTGGAAGGCCCTTAAGGCCTTCCTTTCAACCTAACTAACCTCTCTCTCCTGAAGACACCACACCACACCGGTGGGTGGCCAGGCCGTCACTCACGTTGAGCACACATGACGTCCGCCGCACACATTCATCCCATCCATGTATGTGGGTACGTACCGTACACACTCATTCATATCAATCATTGCTCGGCTGGCTGCAGGGGGGATATCTAACATGTACATATGCTGCCTACCGCTGTCTGTCTGTCTGTCTGTCTGTACAAGCACCAACCACACGTATGGTTCGGTCGGTTCATTGGTCGGCTGTCTTCTTCTTGCTCTGTGCGGCGAGTACGGTAGCGAGTTCGGTCATGTGTTTGCCCCTGGTGGCCTTGGCCTGTGGGGGCGCGTTGGGCTGGAGGGACCGGAGACCATTCACACACTCACGGGTGCGGTGCACATACACCTGCAGGACAGGCAGGGGACACACCACAACACACAACAGCACACGACACCACCACACAGTGAGTACCCACACTGCATGCCATGCCATGCCATGCTGGAACATATGAATGCCATGCCATGCAGACATCAATCACATCGCATGGATCCACTCCCGCCAGAGACACCTGACTGACCTGGTCAATGTCTTTCCGCAGTCGTGCCTCGGCACCCTCCAACTGAACCAACACCCACAGATAGATCAATGCATGCATTAATGACGGATCGGGTCAATCCAGGCAGGCACCGCACCCGGCCAGCCACACATCCACCCCATCCACACCACACATTGATGAAGGCGCGGCGCTTGCCTGCGTAAGTTCTCCTTCCTTACCATGGGTCCGAGTCGAGTCAGGTGGCTCACGAATCCCGCCTCGTCCATCTTGAGATGCTCCTCCGTCTACTCGAGTGAACCAACACACACATACACCATACACATCTGTATATCACCGTCGCACGCGAATAAGAGCCGCCCCGTCAGTCATCTCAAAGCTGCCTGCCTGCCCATTCTATTCTGTAGTACCTACCCACCTACCTGTCGTGTCATTTGTCCGCCGATTCTGAAGTTGCTGCCTGGGCCCGTGTCGGATATGCTCAAGATGACAGTCGACGTCACCTTGTAGTGAGCTGACATACTCACACCACACAAACCACAAAGGCGGACACACACATGCCTGCCATGCACTCATTCCAATTTGATGCTTTCTTTCTGTTGTGTGCACGGATGGTATGTAGGTGCAGACAGACCAGCGTTTTGCGCCTCGACAACTTCGGCTACGTGTATAGAGTCCCAGGTGCCCGTGCTGTCGCCATCACCCTTGTCAGACTCTATCACACACACACACACACACACACAGAGGGACAGGGGTGGGATGGCCAGCCCAGCCTGGGGATGCATGGCATGGATGGAAGAATGAATGGGCGTGCCGTGCCCCTGTCCTGTTGGTCCCACCCACCCACTACCTACCTACCAACCTACCTACCTTTGTGTACGAAGAATGCAGCAGCGAATCCATCGTCCGAGAGATCCCACAAATACACAGACGACACACCGCCACCAAAGTAACTGACACACCGATAAATAAACGGATGGATGCGTCAGTCAGGGAATGAATGAATGCATACAGACAGACAGACAGACAGACATGAGTGAGTGAGTGAGTGAGTGAGTGAGTGGGTGAGTGAGTGACACACATACGCACGCGCACGCCAGGCCCTTCACTCCCAGGGGTGCACTCACTGGTATGTGTGTGTATAGCTTGCCTGTGCCTGTATGCGTCGAAGACCTCATTGAAGAGCACCTCCTGCTTCCGCATGTGCTCTGAACTGAGGCAGGGAGGGAGGGACAAAGGGACAAAGGGAAGGCGGTCCCTGTGTCCACGTGTGTGTGTGTATTGCGTTGATGTGATGCACTGTGCCTGCGTACGGGTAGAATGCCTCTGCTTTGTCGGCGTCAGGGAGGGGCGGATAGTACTGGTTAGACCACGGGGACCTGCAAGGCAGTGCATCAAACCAACAACAAAGCAGTGCTGTGCTGTGCTGTGCAGTGAGTGCATTTATCGCCACCCTTCCCCCCTCCGCTCGCAAGTCATACACTTACTCCCTCACCTGAATGAGTTGCCTTCCCGGTTGTAATCGCTGGCTACGAAGTACATCTGCTGCTGCGCACACACACAAACAGCACAGCACAGCGTGGATGGGATGGGCGGATGAAAGAATGGCGGCTATTGGGATCTCATTGTACGCTGCCGCGTGGCGTACGTACGTCGGTGTCCAGTTTGACTTTGAGCGGTCGGTCGATGCGCTGCAACAGCTCCTCTGCCAGGGACGGCACCATACGAACTGCCAATCACACACATCCACACCGCACACCCACACCACACAGACACACAGACAGACCAAAATGGGGCGGGCGGTTCGGTTCGCTGTGTGTCTTTATTCCATTAACTAATGTTTGTTTGCATTGCACGTATGTGTGTATCCATGTGGCTGGCTGGCAGGCTACCGAGGCCGATGACTGTCTTCTCCACATTCTGGGGCGGCAGCCGCCTCCTGCGTGCGCACACACAAAGCCCAGCACAGCAGGCAGATAAATTGCAATTGACATTACTACTGCTCACTCACTCACCCCAGGTTAAGGGCACTCGTCATCCTTGTCACGTCAGCCATGGTGCGTGCGGGCGTCCTCCCTGTGTCTTGCAAGCCACACTACCCAGATCTCCTGTGGCATTGACATTCATCGCATTCGCATCGATGGCATTCATTCACCACTGAAGCCGCTTCTTACCTCTCAAGGCTGCTGTAACACGCTGTCTTCGGTGGCTTTGGGCCTCTGTCCAAGCCAGAGAACCGGAGAAACACTCGGACAGATGCGATCGACCATTGGTCGAACTGTTTTACGAGGGAGCAGAGCGTTTATTGCTGACGTGTCGATCTAAGCAGCTGTTGTCCACTCCATACGATCAGTGGGCAGGGAGGCGTTCGTTCGTTGTGTGCATGTGTGCAAGATGCCGGTGTTGAATGGAGATCCGTCGTTCCACCGGCAGGAGGACGGCCTCAACGATGACAAGAGGCCAGTCAAGTACCTCGTCATCACGGGGGTGAGTAAGCCACACAGTGAGGACCGACTTGATGTGATGCACATGAATGGAATGGATATATGCTGCATCAGTCAGATCTCTCTGTGTGTGTGTGTGTGTCTGGTGTGGTATGCATCCGTGCAGGGCACATTGAGTGGTCTGGGCAAGGGCACGACCATCAGCAGCCTGGGTGTGGTCCTCAAGTCACTGGGACTCAGGGTCACATCCATCAAAATCGACCCATACCTCGTGCGTATGGATGCAGCCTCAGACAGACCAACACATACACAGACAGACAGCAGACTTCTCTCTCTGGGTTGCAATGCTCCCTGTTTGCCTGCCTGCCTGCCTCTCTCTCTCTCTCTCTCTGTGTGTGTGTGTGTGTGTGTGTGTGTATCAGAATATCGATGCGGGTACGATGTCGCCTTATGAGCACGGTGAGGTGTATGTGCTGGAGGACGGAGGGGAAGTCGACCTTGACCTAGGTGGGTACAGTCACTACACACACTTTATTATATATATACGCAGTCAGTCACCCCACCCATCCACATATGCAGCATAGCCGGTGGTGTGCACCACACGCACGGCACGGCATGGGTGGCTTCCTGTCTGGTTGGTTGGTTGTGTGTGGGTATCCATCCATCCATCCATCCATCCGACCGGCCCGGCGCCACAGGCAATTACGAGAGGTTTCTGGACATCACTCTGACTCGCGAGCACAACATCACCACCGGCAAGATATACCAACAAGTCATCGAGTGAGGGAGGGGAGGCCAGGGAGGGAGGCACTCATTAGTTAGCCACCTACCTACCCACTAAGCACACCCCGAACCCACCACTGACTCCTGGCTGCATGCCATGCATGTGTGTATGTGTGTGTGTTTAGGAAGGAGCGCAAGGGTGAGTATTTGGGCAAGACAGTGCAGGTGGTGCCGCACGTGACAGACGCCATACAGGAGTGGATCGAGAGGATAGCACACCTACCAGTCGACCGCAAAAAGGGACCACCAGACATCTGCCTCATCGAAGTCGGAGGTACTGTACGAACAAACAAACAAACACACCCAACCCAAACACACACACCCGGCAGACAGACAGACAGACAGCCAGGTAGCCATACGCACTGCACTCACAAAACACAGACTGCACTGCACTGCACTGCACTGCACAGGTACTGGACTGGACTGTCTATGTGTGTGTGTGTGTGTGTGTGTTTGGCTGTGGTGTGGTGTGCAGGTACTGTGGGTGACATAGAGAGTTCGGTGTACCTGGAGGCCCTGCAGCAGTTCTCATTTAAAGTGGGACTCGACAACTTCTGCCTGGTATGTTATGTATGTATGTATGCCTGCATGCCATGCATCTGTTTGTGTGTGTCGACCCACCCACCCCGCCTGCCGGCCGGCCGGGCCGGCCATTTGATCGATGACGTGGCGTCATGGATGTTATTATGTTATCTGCTCCGTCCCTGTCTGTCTGTCTGCCTGTCTGTCTGTCTGTCTGTTGGTGTCTGTTGTGTGTGCTGTGTTGATTGGTGCAGTGCCAGGTGGGCTTCGTCCCGGTGATGGGCGTGGTTGGCGAGCAGAAGACCAAACCCACACAACACAGCGTCCGGGTGAGGAAATCACACAAACTGTACACTTGCAGCGAGGAATGTGCATGTCATGTCATGTGCGTCCACACACTCCATCCCATCGATTGTGCTGATCTAATCATTTGGTCACACTCTTCCTTCCCTTTCTCTCTGGCTGGCTGGCTGGCTGGTTGGCTGTTTGTTAATACACTTGTGTGTGCTGTCTGTCTGTGCAGGAGTTGCGTCAGGCAGGTTTGAAGCCCGATTTCATCTTCTGCCGGTCCGAGGCGCCCCTGGGGGAGGCCGCACGACACAAAATCGCACTCTTCGGACAATGCCCCAAAGACCATGTAGGCGTGCAAGGCATCCATACATCTATATATCTACACGTACGGCCGTGGCCGGCCATCACATGAGCATCCTATGCTGCTGTGCTGTGCTGTCGGCGGTTGTGCGTGTGCCTTCCTGTAGGTGATAAGTGTTCACGACGTGAGCAACATCTACCACGTGCCACTCATGCTCGAACAGCAACACGTCGGCCCACTCATATGCGACGTACGCTCTCACACACACGCAGAGGGAGAGCAGATTTCTTGTGCGTGACAGGCAGTTAAGTATTGTGTAAACATGTGGTGGTTGTGCGTGTGCACTGCAGCGTCTGCATTTGCACCCCCGTCCGCTGAGTCCTTTGGCCAAGAATCGGCACCTCATGGTGCCCTACAACCTGGCCAACTGGGCCAAAATGGCCCAACGAGTCGACGCCATTGAGGAAACGGTCCGTACGTACGGTGGGTTGTAGGGAGTGCAAGACAGGCAGGCAGGCAGGGAGGGAGGGGGTCCGTTCGTCCGTTGGTCGGCCTCATGTGAGGTGGTGTGTATGTTGTTTGTCCATCCATCCATCCGTTGGTTGTGGGACCTCTGCAGGTCACAATAGGTGTGGTTGGCAAGTACACGGGGTTGTCGGATTCGTACCTGTCGGTCATCAAAGCCCTCAATCATGCGGCCACTGAGGCGGGCCTCAAGGTCGACATCTGCTGGATCGAATCCACAGATCTAGAGCCGCAGGTACCGACGGACGGAGGTCGATAGAATACACCCACACCCACATATACGGCTACCGTCAGAGAGGGCAGCCGGGCAAGGAGGGGGTGCGTGCACTGCACACGAGCACCTGTGTCTGTGTGGTGTTTGCGTCTCTCTCATGCCTCTGAGTCTGTGTGTGTGTGTGTGTCCATGGGTGTGTAGATGCAGCATGAGTGTGCCGACAAGTACGATGAGGCGTGGAGGAAAATACAGGCCGTCGAGGGGGTCCTCTGTCCAGGTAGGTACTACGGTACTACCTGCACACATAACTAACAAACGACACGGCAAAGCAAATGATAACACACACCTTGTGGTGTGGGCGGGGGTTGCGTGTGTGTTGGTGGGTGGGTTGTCTGTCATATATCAATCAATCAGGAGGTTTTGGTGACCGTGGCATCGAGGGAAAGGCACTGTCAGCACGATTCTGCAGACAAAGTAAGTGAACTAACTAACTTGACGTATGCATACCATTCACAACAGAAAAGGGCGGCAAGGACATGCATGTATTTATGTGACTTACTTGCCACCCCACCCTCTGTCTGTCCTCCCTTCCTGCCTGCATCCAATAATGAATGCATTGGTGTGCGTTCGTTCTGCGTGCTGTGTATCGTATCAATCTATCATACACTACACAGATGGCAAGCCTTACCTCGGCATTTGCTTGGGCCTGCAAACCGCCGTCATCGAATTCGCAAGGTCAGTCTGTCAGTCAGATGCATGGATGGATGGATGGCGGAGGAAGGAAATGACCATCACACGCACGGCACGGCACGCATACATATGATATTTGCGCATCGCATCGCATGTATGGATTCACCTCACGTATATACAAGTGGGTGCGTGTGCGTATAAGTAAGTAACCGTGTGTGTGTTTGGGTACATAGCAAGCATGTACTTACTGCATGTACGGACGTGTGTGTGTGTGTGAATGGAATGCAGGGAGGTGCTGCAGATGGACAATGCCAACTCTGAAGAGTTCGACAAAGACACCACACAAAAAGGTACTTACCTACCTAACGATGGCCTACCCGATCAACCAACCACATCGGACATAGATAGCTATGGATCACTCACTCGCTCATTTGCTGAGCGCCTTCAGTCCGTCTGTCTGTCTGTCTGTCTGC